CGTTTAGTTGATACTTTTTCGGTGAATTTAAATTTAATTTTTAATAAAACTCAATCCAATTTAAAGAAAAATCCAAGTCCAATACCTTTTAATGAATTAAAAAGTTGGGGATCTTCATTACAAAATGAAGGATTACTGAACACTCGCTGCCAAAAATCTTTGTTAGTTGACAGATTCTTGTGTTTTGGTATAGCTAAATCTATGCCTGTTTTTGAAAAATTGACTTTATCTGATCAGGTATTTACCTTCTCTTTATAGGTGTTTTCAAATTACATATGGATAAAGTGTGGGGTCAGACTGATTAAAGTAAAGCAAAACAAAATAAGAAAAACTAAACTGTTTTGCTTCAACTTTATAGAATTATTATCCATAAAATTTGTATGATTTTAGAAGCATACAGTTACGACCCCGCTTACGTAGAGGAAAATAACAGAACATTTATCGCACGAAAAAAATACAAAGGAGCTGAAGATTGGGGTAGGAAGAGGGATAATACTGAGACCGCGAACTAACTATTGGCTTTTATACTAAACTCTTTAAGGGCTGTCGCCCATACACAACACATACATATAACGAGTGATTAAAAAACAAACAAGAGATCCCTGAATTTCATTAATGAATACTAGAGATCGGAATTTTTTTCCGTACCGTATTACCGACTGTAATACCGATAAATACGACAAATACTGATGTTTTTCATCGGTACCGTATTCCGTACCGTATTTTTTTCAAAATTTTTCCGTACCGTATTCCGTACCGTACTACCGATACGGAATACCGATAAATACCGAAAAATACGGCCGTAGTACGGTACGGTCCGATCTCTAATGAATACCTCAATTAATGCAAAACCTTTATAAAATAGATTGCACATCTGAGACGGATTTATTGTGTGTTTTTTGTATTTGCAAGCACCTACATATCTTGGGAAATGGGCTCTGAAACTTGGATAAAAAAAGATGGTGTTATGCCTTCTCTCGTTGTTAAAAATAGTAAATATTCACATGATCAGAGGTTAATTTGAAAATGATAAAGAAATGAACGGTGTAAGGTTGAACTCCGTTCCCCTTGCCTAAAAATAATAGAGGGGTTAGGTTGGTTCCCGACAGGGAGGGGGGAGGGCCACGGGGAAAGGTTTTCGGGGAGGCAGCGCCACGGGGGCAGGGGGGGGGGGGGGGGGGCGGGGAAAATTTTTTCATTTTTTTACGGGGGGGGGGGGGGGACGGGGAATTTTCAAAAAATCTCTCAAATTCCCCGACTTTCGGGGACAGGGACCAACCCTAATTAGTTCTAAAAAGCATAGCGGCTACTTTTAGCCATAAAATAATGTGCATGCCACATTTTAAGTCTGTCTACCTATTTTAATATTTTGAGTAAATAAAAGGGTGAAACGAAATTCAATTTTTCCACAAAACTAACTGGAAATAAAAAATATTAATTTTTTGAAAAAAATTTTTTAAATTTTTAGCATGAATAAATGGTCAGAAATTGGATATACAAAATCTGTTGCCCATTTTAAACGTGTTGCATTAACAAACGTTGAATATGCTTTGTTAATTGCTATTATTTTTACGAGACCGGGTAAACACTTTGGATATACTTTGGATATACTTTAGCCGGTGGCCCACTCAGAAATGGGTCTAATTATATATCATTCGAGTCGTCTCGGCAAGCTGAGTCGAATGGTACCACTTTTTTTGCGGAAATGCCTACGAGCCGAAAGTCCTTAAAAACCGAAAAACCATAGGGGGAGTAAGCTCGATTTTGGGGTGAAAAATTCGATTTTTTGAGTGATAGCTCTTTCGAAAGAGCTCATCGAGCTGAGTCGAATGACACCAAAATCAACGAAATCCGACTAGATTTGACAAAGTTATGACACAAAAAACTAAAAACCTAAACCTATGGAGCGTCGGCGAGGCTTTTTCTTTCAAATTTAATTTAAATAAACTTTATAATTTTTTAAAAAAGATGCGGAATTGTCTCCCGAAGGAAAGGAATTACTTTATAACGAATCTGTTAAATTTACAAATATTTTACTTCGATATAATCAACGAAGATTAGGTTTAATTGAAGGGGCTCAAAGATTGGATGAATGTATTCGTCTAATTAATGTTGCTATCGAAAACGAGCACATTTTTCGTTTAATGCTTCTTTATCATACTAAATATTATTCAATGGATAGTATTAAATGTTCAAACTTTTTTGAAAATTTAATGAAAAGAACTGATTAAAAATAAGAAAATTTGAAGAAATTTTTTTTAATTTTAAATAAAATATAAATAAATTATGTCGGTCAATATATTCTATTATTTAAATGGGTAAAAATATAAATTTGTATATTTTGTATTTGAAATATGTATCTTAATTAAGAGCCTTAAAATTTACTAATGGGATATTCATGTCATATGCAAACTTGCACTATTTACTAGGGTGGTCCATAAGTTCGTTCGTTTTTTATGCTGTCCTAGATAATCGTCTATATCTTACCTTGGAATTGATAAAATTAAAACTTCTTAAATTCATCTTATTCAACAAAGAATTGTCTATCAAATACAATTTATTTCATAATTTTTCACTTTTTTAAAAAAATTTTATGGATTAAAGAATTCCCTACATCCATCTGACCTCCTCCAAATTCATGAAGCTCCGCCCACGAAGAGAGAAACGCAAATAGTAAAACCATATGTCATCCGAAAGAGCTCTTCACGTTGAGTCAAATGGTGAAAATATTTTGTGCGGACTCATAGAGGGACTGAGATATAGGCTTCCGAAAATTGAAAAACCATAGGGAGGAGTAAGCTCAATTTTGGAGTGAAAAATACGATTTTTTAAATGATAGCTCATTCGAAAGAGCTCCTCGAGTAAGTCGAATGACACCAAAAGCAGCTCGAGATCTTGATTCTGAGCCAAGATAAACAGTTTAAAAATAGTCACGTAAACCTACGTAGCGTCGACGAGGCGCTTGTGAAAACCCTCCGCTTCTAATTTATGAATACTGCATTTCTCTTTTGGACATACCGATGAAAAAGTGTAGAAAAAAGGGATATTAGGCTCGAAAAGTAATATGTTCACGATGAGAATAGATGGAATAAAACTAAACCGGAAATTTGTGAAATATGAGTGATTTTATTTGAAATTCCCCCAAAATTAAACCGGTATTTGCCTAAAACTCAAAACCGAAAACCGGGTTTCTAAAATTTAGATTAATCGAAAACCGCGGATACCGGTTAATAACCGGTCGCCAACAACCCTAAATAAAACCGTCTAGGAATGAGCACAGCCAGAAGCAACCCTAACCTCAATTAGGGTTGCCAAAATGGACCGACTCGAACACACGTCTAAAGCCTCCTTTTTATTCCCTTCCTGAGAACTCAGCCCTCATTTTGACTTTTTGGAAAAGGACAAACTGAGTTAATTTTAAAAAATTTTAATATTTTACAACTTGAATATAATATTTATTTTCATTATTTATTTTTCATTTAGCTTTTCAATTAAATTATTAGTCTATTGTTTTCTCAACTGTTTCCATTATACGTCTATATATAAATTATTTTTTATTTTTCATAAATAATTAATTTTTACTTTACTGGTCACAAATTGGTCAACAATTGAATTATTAATTAAATTTGTATTTGAGAACATTCTTTCTATAAAACTAAAAACATTTTAATCGAACAACCTTTATAAACAACTAAACTTTTCAATTATCTTTAAATTTTCAACTTTTATTTGTTGATATAATTGAAGATATTTTAGTAAAAGATTGTTGATTTTTGCCTCCAAAATTTCTTTTGATCAAATAAAAAATATGCCTTTACAGATATAAGTTTTCGGACTTGGGCCTGCAAACCTCCAATAATTTTATTAAACTTGCCTTAATTAAATTAAAAATGTTTTTCTTAATTTGGTTGAAAGTAACTGGGGAAAGTTGCTTAAACCCCCCCCCCCTAATTTATAATTCCCCTCATTAAAAAATAATTTTTACTTTATGAGTAATTTATAAAGAGGTTTTAATTGTTAATATACAACTTTTATAATTACTTTTTTTACTTTTTAAAATAATATCCACTAAATATACTATTTCCTTTTCATTATTTTGTATGTTCAACTGCAATAAGTCCCAATAATTTCACAAAATATAGTAGGTGGTAGCAAAAGATAATAACGCGCATCATCGACTATTCTGACTAGTATACTAAATTAAACTAAACATTACAGACGATATAGCCTTTTTATTTTACGAAATATTTTTATTATTAAGCTAATTTTCCGGAAAATGTTTTCCGGAAAGTTTTTCTGTTTATTTCTTAAAATATGTTCGTGAACATGTTTTTGTTTGGAAAATAAATGTTTTGTTTAGAATGTTTGCAAAAATGTTTTGTTTATCATTTGTTCAGTAAAAATGTTTTTATATAGAAATTTATTATTACAACATGTTTAGGGAATGTTTTGTTTGTTTTTACCTACATATTTTAAAGAAAATCAAAAAAACATTTTAACAATTTCTACAAAAACATTTCCCAACAAAAACTTGTTTATTTTTAAAAATGTTTAAGGTTTTAAATTTAATGTTTTATTAATTCTAAACATCACAACAAAATAAATTAAATCTTTTTACTAAAAACACCGCTATTATTTTATAATCGGCTAATAAAAATTTAAAATGTCTAGACTTTAAATCAATATTCAGACATTTATTTAATTTTATTTTTAAATACCTAATTATTATGTATCTCATTATTAAACAGCAAAAAATTCTTAATTATTTTATTTTAATTTTTTTATTATTTATTTATTCATTTTTGAAAGGTAAATTTTAGAAAAAAGTAGAAAATTAAAATATTTTTTATGTCTAAAAATACAATTAAAATTGAATACTCTTAATTTATTAATAAAAAATTATAAATAAAATTACATTAAAACATTGTTGATTTTTCTTAAAATGTTTTCCGGTTTATTTCTAAAATGTTTCCACGAACTTTTTCTGTTCAGAAAAATAAATGTTTGTTTCGAATGTTTTGGAAATATTTCCCTGTTTATTTCTAAAATGTTTTGAAATTTATTGTTCAGAAAAACAAATGTTTTGTTTGGAATGTTTGCGGAAACATTGTTTTGGGAAAAACAAAAACAACAAACAATGTTTTGTTTTTGTTAAGAAAACAATGTTTTCCCTAATTTAATTAATTCAAACAAATAATTAATAAAACATTTTTTAAAGTTTCCTGTCAACATTTAAATTCATGGGATGGAAATTTGATTGATCAAAATGATAAAGATTTTGAAAATAAATATATTAAGAATCAATTCCCTAAACTTATTGAATGGCCAAAGGAAGGCCAAATAGGATCTCATTGTAATCCAGACTTGAACGGGGCTTGTAATGTTCCAAATTCGCATTGTTTTAAAGGAATATGTGAGTGCTTGCCTATGTAAGTTTTTAATTGGGAAATTAAATTTTACCTAAATTTTAGGTATTATCCCGAGTCTGCTGCCAAATGCGAACAAATAGATCCAGGTATTAAATGAGGAGGTGAAATTATTCACTGACTAGAAAATATTTGAAAGAAGCTAATAGGGTCAAGAGAATGCCCCTCCCCTCTAAGAAAAGACTAATTTAACTAATTACTAATTTAATGCAAAAAAATTAAAAAAATTATCTGTTTTGGGTGGATTGGTACTGAAAATAATTTAATTTTAAAATTATTAAAAATAAAAAAACTAAAATTTTCTAGCAAGTTCTCTCACTCGAGATTGTATTCGCCCAATGGATTGTCCTGGTAATGGTGAATTTTGTAACAGAGTAACTGGAAAATGTGAATGTGTAGATCGTTTTGTGGAAGTTGATTGGCGGTGTCTTCCAGGAATTCCTCCAGGAGATTGTTTGGAGATTTTTTAGTTTTTAAAAAAATAAAAATAATTCTTTTAGTTGGTTGTATAGATTCTCGTCAATGTTCAATTTTCTTTTCAACAGCAACTTGTTCTGGAGAAGGCAAATGTCACTGTCCGGAAGGGATGGTACCTAAACGGGGAACTTGTCTTCAAGAAATTAGCGGTAATGGAACAGATAAATTCCGGAAAAACATTCCGGACGTTAAAACAATGTTTTGTTTAGACCGAACATTTTGGAAAACAAAGTAGAAAACATTAAACATCTAAACATTTTTAAAATCAAAAACAACATGTTTATTTCTCTTTAAAAATGTTTTTCTTAAAATATGTTTTAATTAAATGTTTAAAAAATATTTAATAAAAACATTTCAGGCTCTAATATTAGAACAAAACAAAGTGGCGACCACATTATTATACCTTCAGTATATCCACCGCCTTATCAACCACCCCCTCAACCTTCCTCAAATGGACTGCCTAATATTATACCAGTTCCTTCTAATGGAATTGAAGAACTTCCAATGATTTCTGGGATTTCACCAGGCAAATAAAAATTTTTCTGAAGATTATAAAGTCTTTTGAAGGAAGTGTTTGCAGTACTGATAGTTCTTGTGCTGGTTATCCCTTAGCATTTTGTGATGGTGTATGCAAATGTAGAGAAGGTGCATTAAATGCAGGGTCCGCATGTATTGCTGCACTAGAGAATGGGGCAATAATGGGAGGAACTTGTTCTAATGGACAGGTAGAAAAACAAAATTTTTAGAAAAAGTATACCGAAGAACCTAAAACAATGTTTGTTCGGACTAGTATTTATAATAAAATAACTTAAAACAATGTTTTGCAAAGCTTGAAATTATGTTGTTTAGATTAAGCATTTCCGGAAAACTTGAAACATTGTTGTGTTCGGATTAAACTTAAACTTGAAACAATGTTTTGTTCAGGCTAAGTTTTCTGGTAAACTTAAAACATTGTTTTGTTCGAATTGAATATTTCCATAAACTTGAAACATTGTTCTGTTCGGATTAAAAATTTCCTTAAACTTGAAACAATGTTTTGTTCAGGCTATGCTTTTCTGGTAAACTTAAAACATTGTTTTGTTCGAATTGAATATTTCCATAAACTTGAAACATTGTTGTGTTCGGATTAAACTTAAACTTGAAACAATGTTTTGTTCAGGCTAAGCTTTTCTGGTTAACTTAAAACATTGTTTTGTTCGAATTGAATAGTTCCATAAACTTGAAACATTGTTGTGTTCGGATTAAACTTAAACTTGAAACAATGTTTTGTTCAGGCTAAGCTTTTCTGGTAAACTTAAAACATTGTATTGTTCGAATTAAATATTTCCATAAACTTGAAACATTGTTGTGTTCGGATTAAACTTAAACTTGAAACAATGTTTTGTTCAGGCTAAGCTTTTCTGGTAAACTTAAAACATTGTATTGTTCGAATTAAATATTTCCATAAACTTGAAACATTGTTGTGTCGGATTAAACTTAAACTTGAAACAATGTTTTGTTCAGGCTAAGCTTTTCTGGTAAACTTAAAACATTGTTTTGTTCGAATTGAATATTTCCATAAACTTGAAACATTGTTGTGTTCGGATTAAACTTAAACTTGAAACAATGTTTTGTTCAGGCTAAGCTTTTCTGGTTAACTTAAAACATTGTTTTGTTCGAATTGAATAGTTCCATAAACTTGAAACATTGTTGTGTTCGGATTAAACTTAAACTTGAAACAATGTTTTGTTCAGGCTATGCTTTTCTGGTAAACTTAAAACATTGTTTTGTTCGAATTGAATATTTCCATAAACTTGAAACATTGTTGTGTTCGGATTAAACTTAAACTTGAAACAATGTTTTGTTCAAGCTAAGCTTTTCTGGTTAACTTAAAACATTGTTTTGTTCGAATTGAATAGTTCCATAAACTTGAAACATTGTTGTGTTCGGATTAAACTTAAACTTGAAACAATGTTTTGTTCAGGCTAAGCTTTTCTGGTAAACTTAAAACATTGTTTTGTTCGAATTGAATATTTCCGTAAACTTGAAACATTGTTCTGTTCGGATTAAAAATTTCCTTAAACTTGAAACAATGTTTTGTTCAGGCTATGCTTTTCTGGTAAACTTAAAACATTGTTTTGTTCGAATTGAATATTTCCATAAACTTGAAACATTGTTGTGTTCGTATTAAAAATTTCCTTAAACTTGAAACAATGTTTTGTTCAGGCTAAGCTTTTCTGGTAAACTTATAACATTGTTTTGTTCGAATTGAATATTTCCATAAACTTGAAACATTGTAGTGTTCGGATTAAACTTAAACTTGAAACAATGTTTTGTTCAGGCTAAGCTTTTCTGGTAAACTTAAAACATTGTTTTGTTCGAATTGAATATTTCCATAAACTTGAAACATTGTTCTGTTCGGATTAAAAATTTCCTTAAACTTGAAACAATGTTTTGTTCAGGTTATGCTTTTCTGGTAAACTTAAAACATTGTTTTGTTCGAATTGAATATTTCCATAAACTTGAAACATTGTTGTGTTCGTATTAAAAATTTCCTTAAACTTGAAACAATGTTTTGTTCAGGCTAAGCTTTTCTGGTAAACTTAAAACATTGTATTGTTCGAATTGAATATTTCCATAAACTTGAAACATTGTTGTGTTCGGATTAAACTTAAACTTGAAACAATGTTTTGTTCAGGCTAAGCTTTTCTGGTAAACTTAAAACATTGTTTTGTTCGAATTGAATATTTCCATAAACTTGAAACATTGTTGTGTTCGGATTAAACTTAAACTTGAAACAATGTTTTGTTCAGGCTAAGCTTTTCTGGTAAACTTAAAACATTGTTTTGTTCGAATTGAATATTTCCATAAACTTGAAACATTGTTGTGTTCGGATTAAACTTAAACTTGAAACAATGTTTTGTTCAGTCTAAGCTTTTGTTCAGTCTAAGCTTTTCTGGTAAACTTAAAACATTGTTTTGTCCGAATTGAATATTTCCATAAACTTGAAACATGTTTTTTTTCTAAACATTTCCGGCAAACTTAAAACAATGTTTTGTTTAAAAAACCTAAAACATGTTTTGTTCGAATTAAATATTCCTATAAACTTGAAACATTGTTGTGTTCGGATTGAATATTTCTATAATTTTGAAGCATTGTTTTTCTAAATACTCCCGAAAAACTTGAAACAATGTTTTGTTAGGACTGAACATTTACATAAACTTGAAACACTGTTGTGTTCGGATTGGACACTTTCGGAAAACCTTGTTTATAGGAAATAAATAAGACATCTAGAATAATAAACTATTCTTCTCGAGATGTTTATGAAGCTTAAAAACTTAAGTTTTGTGAAAATCACTTTTCGAGATAATAATCAACATAATTTTCGATAAAAATTGAAAACAATTCCAAACATGGCAATCAAAGTGATAGAAAACTTAATTAAATTTAAAAAATTATCTTTCTACTTTAGGCGTATGTTTCTGAAATTGGAGCTTGCTTATCTGGTTAAATGTTATTTATCTACTTTTTTTTAAAAATCAAAAATTTAGAGTCAAGCCCGGGTTCACCCTGCCAATATTCACAACAATGTGCCCTTCAAGAGCCAGGCTCCTTTTGTCGTCGTCTTATCTGTCAATGTCCATATGGAATGCAAGTAAGCGCTGATGGCAGGAATTGTGTCTTCACTGATAGAAATTGTACTAGACGAGGGGAGATTTGGATATCTGAAATTGGTCAATGCAAACTTAGTGAGTAATTAAATAATTTTGGAAATAATATTTTTAATTAAACCTCCCGATTTCTAATTTCTTGAATATTTTGAATAACGATTCCTGAATATGATAATTTTAAATAAACATGTTTAGCTGTATTACCTGGTTCTGGCCTTTGCACTCACTCTATGCAATGCTCAGCTGTTGTGCAGGTATAAATTAAATTTAAAATAATTTTTAAATTAATATAATTTATTAAGTATTTTAAATAATTACTAATCATATTTAATAATCTTTAGGGGGCTCAATGCGTTTTGGGGAAATGTGTATGCCCTCCAGAATTGCCTATTGCTATTGACGGGACTTGGTTATTTTTTAATTAAAAAATAAAATTTCCCTTAATTATCATAAAAATATTTCTTCAGTGGAGAACAATGCCCACAAGGACAAGCTTTTTCAAGTGTAACAGGCAGCTGCCTGCCAAGTTTGTTCTCTTTATAAATTAAAGGAGAAAATATCAGAATTTTTATTAAGCGTCCTCTAGAAATCAGAATTTTAAATAAACATGTTTCGAACTTTTAATTAAACATTTTCTGGCTTATCAGAATTTAAAACGAACATTTTCTTGAATAAGCAGTATTTTTAATAAAATTTGTTCAGAATATCACAAACATGTTCTGGAAAAAGTTTAGACTCAGAATTTTAAATAAACATGTTTCAAAGTTTTAAATAAACATTTTCTAAATTATCAGAATTTAAAACGAACATTGCTTTAATAAAATTGTTCTGAACATCACAAACACGTTCCGGAAAAAGTTTAAAACAAAAACAATTTTAGCTGTTCAACCCGGCAGCGAATGTTATTACTCTAGCCAATGTCACGCTGTTTATCCTGGAATGCTTTGTAGCTTGAGTCGTTGTCGATGTCCAAATGATCAAGTATTTTCTGGGAATCGTTGCATGCCTTGTTTGTTTTTATTAAATTAAAAAATATTTCCGTTTAATTTTGCTTAGAATAACAAAAAAATTGAAAATTATTTTGGAAATTTTAAATAATTTTTATAAAATTTTTAAGCATTGGGATAATGAAGAACAGACAAATAAAAGAATTTAAATAAAAAAATTTTTTTAAAATACTCTTAAAAATATTTTAAATAAATTTTTAAATTAAATTCTCGATTAATTTCAATTTTTGTTTATTTTATTAGCTTGCCCACAATCATATATTCGTAATCAATTTGGAGTGTGCCAACCTGGTGAGAGAGATATATTTTACCCTTTTTTATTTCAAAATTTTAATAATTTTCTGAATATCAGAATTTTTAACAAACACATGTTCCGGAATATTAAATAATATTTTATCTACCCTCTCCCTTACACAAACATTTAAGGCTGCCGAACAAACCAAATAGAACATCAAGGACATTGTATTGACATTGTCGGGCCTGGACAAGCCTGTTTAGTTAATAGACAATGTGCAGGTGGCTCTCAATGTATAGATGCCCAATGTCAATGTCCAATTAGTATGGTTAACAATAATGGAGTTTGTGTGCCTGTCCGTGCAGCCCCGCACGAATCCTGTACTCGTGGACAACGCTGTGTTGGAGGATCTAGTTGTATGGATGGAATATGTTTATGTCCGACAGGAACAAGCCCTTTAAACGGTGTTTGTGTTACTAGAATGACTGGCGAGAAAATTTTGAAATAATTTCAAAAAATAATTTTATTTCCAGTTCCCCCAAATTCTGCTTGTTCACCAGCGGTGGAGTGTGGTGGGGGTTCGAAATGTGAACAAGGAATATGTATATGGTAATTTTGAAAATTATTTTTCTGAGAAAATAAATTTTATTATTTAGCACACCCCCACTTTTAGCAATTAACGGAACATGCCAATACCCCCCTACGGGTAAACAAATATTTAAAATTAATTTTAAAATTAAAAAATAAATATAACAAAATTCTAGTACTTCCTGACGGAGCTTGTCCTACGGGACGGGAACGATGTTTGGGAGGTTCTAATTGCCGTCAAGGAAGGTAATAATAGATAACAATTATTAGTTGTTAAATTATAATTTAATAATTGAATCTCATTATTTGATTCTATGTTTTATTGGGACTGAACATTTCCATAAACTTGAAACATTGTTATGTTCGGATTAAAAATTGAATCTCATTAAATCTCAACAATTTTCGGGGAGGCAGGGCCACGAGGGGAGGGGGAGGGGTGTAATTTCTGAAGTAATAACTTAGGGTAATAAGTAAATAAATAATAATAATGTAAATAATAATAAGTAACTTCTGACTGTTCTAAAACTCGTAAAATTTGGGGAATATTTTAACTTATTAAACTTTTTTAACAATTTCTTAATTAGATGTAAATGCCCGCTTGGTACTGTAGCAGACGGGGTAATAGATTAATTATTATTTCTGTTAATTTTTTCTTAAACTTAAAAAATTATTTTCCCCTACTAAGAGTGAATGTTCAATAGTTACTCAAGTCGGAGCTGGTCAGGTGGCTCTTTTGGATTTTTTCTAAGATTAAAAAATCTTTCTTAAAGAGTTGTTCACCTACTCGAGTTTGTACAAACTTTGCTGTTTGTGTACAAGGAATTTGTACATGCCCCTCTCCTTTTGTAGCACAGAGTGGGCAATGCGTGGTGAATAAAAGAATTTAAGAGATATTTTTAAAATTAATTTTTAAGCGTCCGGAGACAGTTCTAGCCGGAGATTCTTGTGCTCTAGGCGAGGCCTGCCCTCCAAATTCATATTGCGATCAAACTGATAAGGTGCAGAGAATTCTCAAAAATAAAAAAATATTTTTCTAAATAAGTCGAATCTCATATTTAGATTACCTCCTGGGTCCTGAAAAATCTGTAACTTACATATAATGGGTTTTAGTTTAAATAGGAGGTATGTGGTAGCCTCCACATCTAGTGGCCAACTAATTAAAAAAATTTACTTAAACTATGGAGAGTATTTATAAATTATAATATTATGAATACCTTATAGTGAGATTCGAATATAATCAAAAATTTTTTTATATAAAGGTCTGTACTTGTATAGCACCCACAACAAATATTAACGGTGTTTGTCGAAATTCTCAAACTGGTGGGTTTTACATAATTTCAATCAAAATATGTACATATTATTAAAAAATAATTAAATTTAGCCAATCCTGGAGAATCTTGTTTAAACGGTGAAATATGTTCTGGGGGTTCTAATTGTGTGGAAGGAACGTGTCAATGCTCTGCTGGTAGATTCCCTGAATTTTTTTGTCATTTCTCAAATTCTCAACAAAATAATTAGGAATGACTATACAAGCAGATCAATGTGTCCTCATTCCTTCCAACACCCTCGGCCCTTGTTCTGAAAATAACAATCAATGTGTTGGTGGGGCTTATTGTGATCTGAAACGTCAACTTTGCGTTTGTCCACGTTCGACTATTTTATTTAAAAAAAATTTAAATTTTAAATTTAGAGGGGAAAATGGCAATTGGGGGTGTTTGTGTAGATTTAAAGAAGCAATATTCGTTTAAAAATAAAAAGAGAAGATTACAATATCGTAGAAAAAGGTGTGACAGATTTTTGGATTTTTAGAGAATAATTTTATAATAATCACACTAGATCATTTCCTCTAAATTCGTCTAAAAGGAAAAGAGAAGAACGTCCTCTGCCGTTAGAATTTAATAATAATATTGAAAATCAGAATAATTTGGGGGATGGAGGGAATAAGGATAAATTGATGCCTGTTGAATTGAAAAACAGGTAAATATATTTTGTGTTCAAAATAACTGATAAGCATTACATGTCCCTTACACACTAGAGTGTAGGGAACATTTAGGCTACCATTAATCCTAATTGAATGGTCCTTCCAGTTAGCGATACTCTCTATTAGAGTGGACCGCCAGTAGCACCAATAGAGGGTTATTAACCCTAATAGAGTCCCCCTCTAATAGTTCCCCCTTATTTGTCATTTTTTGAATTATGTTACTTATCCACTATGGAATAGGTTCAATCCACCCAATAAAATTTTTAACTTTAATTCTAGTCCAATACCCCAAAATTCAATTCAACAACAAACCCAACCAGAATTACCAAACCCTCAAACTGGACAATTCTCTGAAGGATTAACAATTTTACCAAAAGAAGAAAATTTAAAAAATGAAGAACAAAATAGCCAACCTTCTTCTATACAATTAGGGCATGAATGTCAGAATGAGGGGCAAATTTGTGGTCCTTCTGGGAATGCAATTTGTTTGCATGGATTTTGTCGTTGTATTGAGGAATATGTTCAGGCAGGGACTTCTTTGTGCCTTCCAAGATCAAAAAGTGAGTAGACACTTTTGGCATTTCCAACCAACCTATTTGCTTTTCGCTACCTGCAGTTTAAAAAATTTTAGCTTTCGGTTCCACTATTTAAAAGGAGGTTTTGAATAGGGTTGGGGTTTTCGTGTCGGGCCGACGTTTCGTTCATTTTTTCGGGCTTCATTTTTATCGGGCCGGCCCGACCGAGTTTTTTTTCGGGGCAAAATTCAATGCCCGACTTGATCTTTCGGACTGGGCCGAATCGGGCCCTCAACTCCTCAACTCTAGTCTTGAATATCGTATTTCCTATAGACCCTTCTCTCAATTTACCTAGATTATGTCTAGGAAATAACTATTGGCAACTCCTTTGACGTTAAAATATTTTAGTAGCAAATCCAATAATCAATCCTGGCTATAATTGTGCAGCAGGTGATTTTTGTGATGGTGGGGCTACTTGTGTACAAAACCTTTGTCAGTGTCCAAAAGGTTATTTACCCCAACAAAGAAGCTGGTAATTATAAAAATATATCAGTTAATTTAATATTCCCTTATTTTAAGTGTTATTTTGGAAGGAAAGAATTATTATAATAGCACAATTTTAATAATTGGAAATGACGGGAAGCGTTTAGTTAAAAGTTTGTTTAGATAAAGGGTTGAAATTATTCCAAAGAAAATTTAATTTTAGAGTCCCCAGGCCTTAATTGTCGCCATAACCCTCAAGTTTGTACAGGCGGTTCTTTTTGTTTTAATGGCTATTGTGTTTGTCCAGAGGGGTATGAAGAGCGTGACGGTGAATGTATTGTTCCTAAAATATATGGTAAATCTCTAAAAAAGGATTTTAAAAATAATTTTAATTAAAACTATCAAGTCGAACCCGGAGCTAGCTGTGAACGCCCTCCTGGAATTATAGCACAAGTTTTTAAAATTCAAAAAATTTTTATTTTTTGTTATAAATTAAAGGTTGAATGCCTAGGTAATTCTGTTTGTGCTAACGGTTTTTGTGTTTGTCCAAATGGGGAACCGATTCAAAATAAGATGTGTGTTACTGTTAATTCTATTGGTAATGTGTTTAAAATTTGAATTATAGGTCGTAAGGAACATCCTCCATGTGAAGGGGACATCTTCCACCCACCATCCATTGTTCCCTTCAGCCTACCTATTCTTATTTTTTTGATTTTTTCTTTTAGTTTCTTTAAAATAATTAATCTTTCTAGCCGGTCCAGGGGAGCCTTGTATTGCCAGTTTAACAAAATGTACTGGAAATTCTGTTTGTACGGCAGGGTTTTGTACTTGTCCACAACAACAAGTAATTCTTAATTTAAGACCGAAAAATAAGAATTTTGAGGTTCCTTTAAACGGCCAATGTGCCTCTGTTTCACTTGCCACCCAACTTCCAATGCAGACATGTACACCAACAACTATTTGTTTAGGGAATTCTATTTGTCAAGGTGGAAAAAAGAATAAAATTTTTCATTAAAAATATTTTTAAGCTGGCCGTTGTCAATGCCTTCCAAACACAATTTTGGCCCAGTCTGGGACTTATTGTCAACCAGTCTCAGCAATTATTGTTCAACGTAAAATAATATTTTTCTTCACAACGAAAAATTTTACTAGGGCCCAGTATTCATCTACCTTATAATGTCCCCTCGTTGTCATGTTCTTTCAACCAGAGGTCGATCGGAAATGACGAAGGTGCCGAAAATCGGAACTGTCGGAAATCGGAAATGGCTCAAAAGTTGGAAACAGCCTAAATTTTCGGAAATCGAAAGGAAAAAAACGTCGGAAGTCGAAAGCCCGATCGACCTCTGACTTCAACTTAAATGTCATGCTCCTTTCACCCCACATACCTATGTTCCCTTCACCCTACACATTTCAATAATTATATCTTTAAGCTCTAAGTTCTCCAACAATAACTAGCAATACCGGAATCCCCGGTTATCCCTGTGCAGTTGGGACCAATGCGCAACAACCATGCAGTGGAGGAGCTACTTGTATTCAAGGAATTTGTGCGTGCGGTGGGTCTTATTGTTAGTTAAGATTATTAAGCATTATCTAAATTTTAAAATGATTGAAAATTCTTCAGATTATGGTTATTATCCTCAACAATCTGTTTGTGTGCCATACACACCTTTAGCACAACCTCCACAACCTTATGTTCCTGCTACAGCAACATATCCTCCTTTTCCATCGGGTGTTGTGCAATGTGAGTAGAAAAGGGATAAATTAACTCTGGTTATATCCCCTTACATGCCCTACATGTTCCTTCACCCCACTCCCGTATTAGCCATTCAACTGTGGGACACAAAATATTTTAAAGCTGTAATCTTTCTGATATTTTTAAGTACTTCCTGGAGAGAATTGTGACCCTCGTTGTGAATATACAGGCACTTGTGACAAAGTTTGTTCTGGCGGGTCTATCTGTGCAGATGGTGTATGTTCATGTCCACAAGGACAGCACAATGTTGGAGGACAGTGTGTTCCATATATAGTAACCATTCCGCCACCTCAACCACAAGTAAAAGAAAAGTGGCACTTTTGAAGAGTGGAGTGTACTTCTGCGGGCTTTTCTTTATTTTCTCTAGTTTGTTGTTCAAACAGTCTCTAAAAATTTACAGGTGTCATAAGTCCAAAAAATATCCCTAAAATTTCGTGGAATCAACGCTCCTCTTTTTAAATGTGCCAAGAAATTAAAAATATTTTTTATTAAATATTCCAAAGATCCAACCATTACAACCAGCCCCACAAATCCAACAACCTTCATCAATAATTATTCCATCAGTTAAACAACGCAGGCGACCCTCTGAAAGTTGTGATTTTTCTTCCACAGTTTGTACGGGCGGCTCTTCCTGCATTTTGGGTGTTTGCCAAGTCAATAAAAGATTTTCTCTAATCTCTCAAAAACATTTTTCCTCCTTTTAGTGCCCACCAGGCTACTCACCTAGTTTGGATAAGGAATCTTGTGTTAACGGGCTTCTTATGGATCCAGGTTTAATTAAGCCTCGTGCATCATCAGCAGAACAACAAAAACAACCCCAACAAACTCCAAACACCCTTAGAGGCAAAAAAGAAGAGCCTCAACGGTTAAAATTAGGCCAGAGATGTAAACAGTCTTCTGAATGTGTACCCGGTGCTGACTGCTTATTTGAAGTTTGTGCTTGTCCCCCTAGAACGGTGGCTAATGCCTTGGGACATTGTGTGTCCGAAAATATTAGTATACAAACAAATACTCAACAAAATACTCAACAAACACAACAACAACAACAACCCCAAAATAATAATGGTGATTAAATTGCCTTAATAGAAATACCGGACTTACTATGAGATTACCTTGAAGGCTGAAAATTATTTGAGGTGTAGTCTTAAATTGCGGATATCGCTTAGTTCTCTCACCCAATCCCAAATTCTAACAAATATTCTTTTATTGAGGATATATGGCCTCATGGGAAGACACAACTTATTTAGGATACACCTGGTTATCAGATATACCGTATTTCTAATAGTGCGACTCTCTCTATAGACCGACCCCTTTTAATAAACCGACCCTCTAGAGGATGGTTGAGAAATAAACCGACCGGTCGCACTCTTAGAAGAACTACGGTAATATTTTCAGCATCAGAAGTATAGGTATCTTATAGTAAGGTCTCTATATAGTAAACATTCATTTCAGTTCAACAATTGTCTCCTTCATCTAAATATAGAGCCTTTCCTTCTACCCCAATTCAATCCAAAATAGAAGAAAATAAGGGCTTAATAGTCCCTATAGGCACTCAATGTAATAATAACAATCCCTTACAAAAATGCCAATTTGGTGCCCAATGTATTTTGTTAATGGAAGAAGCAAGTGCTTTTTGTGTTTGTGTTGATTCTACCGGTGGAGAGATGGTAACTAATTCGAATGGTTTTTGTACTCCCAGACTGTTATCTGACGCTGTTGATAAACGTAAAAATTATTTTTTATATCAAATAGTAATGGATTTTAATTGGAGACCGGACTTTGGTACCGATTTGAGATTGATATCCCGAAAAGTCATGATATCGATAAATGAAAATTTGAAAGAGATGGTATCTGTCTAATCTCTGAGGGCATAAAGTTTGCCTCCTCCGGGTTTGGTAATGTTTTACCAAACACATTACCCGAATCAAAACATTGCCGGGACAGAACCTACCACATCACCCTCTAATGCATGAATCATAACTAGGTCTATGAAAATTGGGTCTACATAAATAGTTTTTCGATTATATCGTTGAACTGTGTCGGATTAAATCAAAGTCGTTACCTTCAAGTTCTGATAGATTGACCCCTCAGTAGACTACCGTATTTACTCGATTAATTCCATACCCTCGAATAATTCCCCAACCTCGATTAATTCCCCATGCTAGGGATACGTTGAAACATTAATTCGAGTAAATACGTAGCCTGCTATCAAAACATAATTTTCCAAAAATTATTTAACTCCCTAAAATAAATAAAATATTAAAAAAGGTTCTCTTGGTTCTCCCTGCCATCCAATAGACAGACCATGCCTTGAAGGTTTATGCCGTTCTGGATTTTGTTTAAAAATACAAAATGGATATTCTAATAATAAAAGAGGAATGACTTTACTTACTCATAACGAACTTGGAGAGGATTCTGAAAGGAAAAAGAAAAATTCCGAAAATAATGTATCGAGGGAAACTAAATTCTTTGCAAGTGGACGAGCAAATAATTTTAAAAGTTTTATTTTTTAAAGTACTTATAAATCCTCGACTTGAAAAAATCAAAAATTAAAATAAATATTGGTCAGTTTTTACTAGAGATCGGCTCGATACGATTTTTTATCGATAATTATCGATATTTTTCGATATTTTTTTTCGATATTATCGAAAAAATATCGACCGAGAAAATTTTGACTTTTTCGATATTTTTCGGTATTCGATATTTTTTCGATATTTATCGAAAAATATCGACCGACAAAATTTAAAAATCGAAACAATCGATCGACCATATTACAAAAAATCGAAAAAAATATCGAACGTCATTTTCGACAAAAATTTGAATTTTCGGCACCAAAAAGGATGCATTTTTGCTCTTGCCCATCGGTAATTCAAAAAATTTTCGCCTGCGGCGCAAGAAAAGGAGAAATGTTTCTTCTATATTCACGAAAAAGTTTGCCAAAGCGAGATGAGAGTGAGATAATATATGGTACATAACACTGATATGAATTAAGAAAGATTTCGGTAGATTAAGGGAGATTTCAGTGGGTTAAGAGTAACTTGATGGGATATCCGAAGATTTGGTGGGATATTTGAGATATCCAAGGATCGTGACGGATATTGCTGATATCCGGGGTAATCGACTATTTGTATAACTTATAGAGGATTAAGTGGGTAAAATGAATCTCGAGGGATCAAGACGGAGCTTAAAGAGATGAATATCAAATGCCAAGATTTTTTATCCTCTGATATCTCTTTATCCGCCGATATCCCTCTTAATCCACAAATCACTTGATATTCTTTCTGATCTCGCAAATCCACAATACAGTCTTAATACCTATACACAACACAAAAAATCGAAAAAAATATGGTTTTCCAGATGGTTTTTCGCTGATTTTTTCTCTCTTGATACACACTCATTGTCAGTCCTTCAATATCAATCTTAATTCCTTAAAATCCACTTATATCCCACTTGATCCTTCGATATCAAATACAAGTCCATTGACATTTAATCCGTCCAAATCCACCAATATCCATTTAATCTTAATCTTATTAAATATTAGGTCTATTCTGTTATTCGTTGGTTATAGAAAAATTTTTGAAAAATCGAAAAATATCGAGACTTTTTTTTCGATATTTTTCGGTTTCGATATTTTTCGATATTTATCGAAAAAATATCGACCGATAAAATTTTGGTTTTTTCGATATTTTTCGATATTCGATATTTTTCGATATTTATCGAAAAAATATCGACCGACCTCTTCGGCCGATCTCTAGTTTTTACCCTGTAGGCGGCTCAAATAGAGAAGAATACTCGAGAAACGAGATCGAAGATTTCCGTCCTTAGGGGGTGTAAATTTTTCCCGTTTTCCGAGACTAAAACACCAAAACCGAGACGCTCAAAATTCCGAGTAATTTTCTCGACTCGGGAACCAAAACTCTAAAGCATCACTAATAAACACGCCCCCCCCCCAAATTATATAACCTCAATTTTAGACTGATTTGTTAAAATTTGATTTATCTTTGAGAATGTAGGCGGGCTTTAGCGATAATTTCTAAGATACTCCCAAATAAAATACAATTTTAATGATCTCCAAGGGTTTGGCTAAAAACTCCGAGATTCAATTTTAAAAAATAATATTTATTTTTAGAATTAGTTGGAGAACAATGCCAAGCACATTTTGAATGTGAACCCCCATCCTTATGTTTATTAAATCGTT